TTCTCAGATGCTGGGAACTATGCATGAGGGCTCTTTGTACTTTTTTTATTTTTATTTTTTGGTATTTAGTACAGGGTCTACAGGGTTTCACTATGTAGGTCAGACGCATAGTGATCTGCCTGTTTTCAGCCTCCCAAGAGCTGGGATTACAGGTGTGCACCACCACACCCAGTCTCAATCAACTGCTCAGCGCACCCCAGGGGCAGGGCTGGCACAGCTTGTGGTACCAGGTATCAAACCCCAGTCCCTGCGCTCTGCCTAAGCTGGAGCTTTAGTCTGCTGAGCTATCTGGCCAGCCCACTTTTTGTATTCTTGATGATTGTCTTAGTTACTTTTCTTGTTGCTGAGACAAAATACCCAACACACCCAAAGTTAGAGGAGGAAAGGTACTGGGCATGGTGGGGCATGCCTGTAATCTCAGCACTCCAGAGGCTGAGGCAGGAGGACTGTTGCAAGTTGAAGACCATCCTGGGCTACAAAGTGAGCTCAAATCCAGTCTGAACTGCACTGTGAGATCCTATTGAGAGACAAACACAGAGAGAGAGAGAGAGAGAGAGAGAGAGACAGAGAGACAGAGACACAGAGACAGAGAGAGAGAGAGAGAGAGAATTTTAGTCCACAGTTTATAGAATTTTAGTTTACAATTGGCTGGCTCCAGTGCAGAGTGAGAAACTATTCATGGCAGGCAGAATGCAGCAAAGCAGCAAAACAGTGAAGCAGCAGCTAGCAAATGATGACCCTCTTTCTGTCCCTTATATCCCATCCAGGACACCTGCCCTTAGAGCACGGAACACTCGCACAGAGCAGGGCAGCCTTAATCCTATTCAGAACTATGCCAAAACAGTCAGTGGGCTAATTTAGGAATCACACACCCTGATCACAGCATCACACACTCTAGGTCCAACCACCTCTGAAAAAAGCCACCTATGGCCGCATGAGGCTTTAGGAGACACAAGCCATAACAACGATAGCCACTTTGATTGAGGTGAGATGGGATCTCGGTGTAGTCTTGATTTGCATTTCCCTTGTGAATGGATTTTATATTTAAAGTAATAGGGCCAGGGACACAGTTCGCCTGCCTGGCAACCACCAAGTTTGATCCCCAGTACAATAATAATAATAATAATAAATGCAAAACTAGCTGGGGGTATAGTTCAGCAGCACAGTGCCTCCCTGACAAGGACATCAAATTCTGATACCAAAATAAAACAAAAACTAAAGTTATAATTTAGCCAGGCATGGTGGCACATATCTGTACTCCCAGAACTGCGAGAAGTTGAGGCAGATAAACAGCAAACTCAAGCCTGGCGCGGGCAATTTAGCAAGACCCTGGCCAGGCATAGTGGTATATACCTATAATCCCAGCACTCAGGAGGCAGAGGCAGTTCAAGTCCAGGTTGGACTACATAATGAGTTCAAGGATAGTCCATCACACAGTGAGACACTGTCTCAAAAAGCAAAAATAGGGACAGCCAAATGGTTCAGCAGATTAAAGTGCCTGCAAGCAGCACAGGGACCAGGGGTTCAATCCCCGGGGCCTGCCATGATGGCCCCACCCCAGGGGCTTGCTGATGCTGCAATTGAGACTGGGTGTGGTGGCATGCACCTGTAATCCCAGCTCTTGGGAGGCTGTAAACAGGCAGATCACTATGAGTCCAATCTAGTAGTGAGATCCTGAACACCTGTAGACCCTTCCCTAAAACACACACACACACACACACACACACACACACACACACACACACACCCCAAAAGTAAAATAAAATAAAAAGAATTTGGGCTTTTCACTGAGCTGCCTTCCCAGCCCCTTTTTGAAACAACAGCTCATTCACACATCCCGACTGGGCTTGAACTTGTGATCCTTGTTCCCAAGTGCTGGGATTGCAGGTGTGTACCACCATGCTCAGCTGATACATTTTTTTTTGTTTTTGATTTTGGGTTTTTGTTTTTTTTTTTTGCAGAACCAGGGATTGAACTCAGGCCCTTGCACTTGTCAGGCAAGCACTTATTCTACTGAGCCATCTCTCTGGCCCAGCTGATTTTTAAAAGAAAAATTTCATTAAGCTGATGTCTGTTAGAGGCTTATAAGTCTAGGACACAAGCCAGGTTTGGTGGCGCACACCTGTAATGCAAACACACAGGGGGCTGAGGCAGCAGGAATGCCTTGAGTTCAAGGCCAGCCTGAACTATATATAAAAATATTTTAACAACAACTACAAAAATTCTAGGATACAAGAGCTTTTTTTTTTTTTTTTTTGTGGTACTGGGGATTGAACTCAGGACCCTGTGCTTGCCAGGCAAACAAGGGCTATTTATCACAATTTATTATTTACTTACTTTAAAAATAAAAGTATGGATTAAACCCTGATACTCAGAAGTGTTGGGTTCCTGCGAGGAGTCCTTTACTGGCTGCAACATTTTCTAATGTTTAGCATTCAAATGAATGGAAGAAAACCACACACCTTTACAATGAAGCTATAATGATTACCTGACTAATTTTACTTTAGCCACCTTCATTATTTGTTTCCTCAATAGGAGAAATATAAACAGAGTAAGTTCTAGTGATTGAATTGGTGCTTGAAATCCATTTGTTTGTGATTTTCTTACAAATTATATTGAGGAATAAGATATTCAGCAAATTGCAAATTTTTTAATGTGTGAATAACTAATTTTTTTTTTTTTAAAAACCGCATACTTCACTGATTTACTATATGTGGCAATTTTTTTCTGGTGAAGTTGCTCCAAGTCTTGCAAATTTCATATGCCTATCTCCTATTCGGGCCAATGCATGTATTTCACTGCATTGGACAGATTTTTTTTTTTAAGTTTTTTGTTTTTTTTTTTAAGTTTTGTCAAACTTTTTCTTACATGTTTTTCCTACTTTAAGTTCTGACAAATATGTATTTCCTATATATTTGTTTATACTTTGATTACAAGTTTTTTTATTTTTTAACTTGCTGCAGTGTTTTGATACTTTTTTTTAGTCTGATCATGTTTAGAAACTTTGGGTGAGTTCAGAAGTCTTAAGTATGGGAGTGTTTACGTGATTGTGCCATTCCAAAGTGCATCAGAACTGTCATTCCCTTCAAGTATCTTCTCAGGACTAATGCATATCAGGTATCGCATCATTTGGTATATGGAAACTCCGGTGCGCTCCCAAGGACATTCACAACATTTATGGTCGCATGGCATATGGAAGGGCATGAGTGTGCGTGAAGGGGCAGGGGATTGAACTCAGGCCTTTGCACTTGCCAGGGAAGCGCTTATTCCACTGAGCCATATCCCTGCCCCCCCCCCCAAATCCCAGTGTTTCATGTGAAGATGTTGAGCCTTTTCTTTTTTCTTTTTGCGGAACCAGGGATTAAACTCAGGCCCTTGTGCCAAGTACTTATCATACTGAGCTATCTCCCTAGCCCCTGTTGAG